TGGTGTGTTACAAGGATATATCCAACAGTAATTTTGTGGTACCTGAAAAAAGCAGGCTGATTCACTAATGGTTATTTTCATTTGGGTGACTCATTGGAGGACACTGGGCAGCATCATTTTTTTAAAAATTCATAAAGGATGGTTCAAAGGCATTCATTATAATTTCATTAGTGTACAAGAGGCAGTTCTGAGTGCTTAAGTGCAGCCAATTTTAACTTGTATACACCAGTGATCACTGCTATAGTAAAATAAGCATATCTGTGGCTTTCTAGGAATATTATAGGTCTTAGCATCCTCCTGTAGTCATAGGCACAGGACCTGTACCGGAGGAGCTATGATCCCACCTGCCAGGGGACAGTGTTGCAGGCACTCACCAGCCCAGCGCAATAGCGAGGTCTTTTAAAAAAAAACATAATTAAGAAGAATTGTTCATGTCTAGATGCACTTGTTAAATTAAAATGACCTGACAAAAGAGAGGGTCCTAATTTTCCTTGAGTTTTACGGTACAAACTCCAAGAAGATCAGATGGCGTCCTTTTCCTCACTGGCCGCATGCATACTATCCACCAATTTCTGCTGAATTTCAAGAGGACATTAAGGGGAAGTTACATGTTACTCTTGAACCACTATAAAGGCCAAACTCTGCCAAAGAAGGTGGGGGCTCATGCTCTCGTGCATCCCTTCTTCTCCCCACTCCTCTCTGCTCGGGTCCCCACACAGATCTCCATTTCCTTGCAGTGCCTTTAGCACTCACACCCACCCTGCCCTGAGCCAGTCCAACTCATGGGCCTTGCAGAAAACTGGCCACTTTTCTGCCAGGTTGGCTTTTTGCTAATTTAGCTAGTCAAGTGAGCTCTGCTCAGGGGCAAACAACAACCAGGGAAGGTGCAACACTGGCAGAGGAGGGGGCAAAGAAAGCATGGCGAGGGCAGCAGGAGGGAGAGGAGAAAATGGCACTGAGCCATTAGATGGCTCAGGATGTGCCACGTACATTCTTACGGAAGCAAACACAAGTTTTCCTTTCATCTGTTTGTTTCAGTGTTTGAGTTAAACAGAAGTTCAGAAAACAAACAGTTTGCATCTGCCAGCACTGACATTCCCTCCCGCTTAGTCATGGCAGGGATGCTGTGAACCCAGTGGCCAGACGTCAGGTTAGGATTCAGGAACCTTTGGCACAGCGGATGTCAGGCACTTCCTTTCCCTGTGGCTCACTTTTTCCTACTGTGAAAGGGAGACAGTAATTACTCACTCAAGAGTGCTACACAACCTGATTCATCCGTGCAGGTAAAGCCTTGTCACAAAAGCAAGAGGGAAGCCAAGAGTGGACAATTTTCCCTCTACACCTCATTTGAGCAATTGTCACCTCTCAAATGACTGATGGGGAGTTCAGCTCCTGCATCCGTGCGCTGAAATCCCCCTCTGAGGCTGCTGTCTCCCTGCCCGTCCACAGCCCAGGGGTCGGATGATGCCGCAGGACCCTGCTTTAGGTTGTATCATGGACAGTTGGTCATTATCCTCTGATGAACCTAATGCTGATGCTTTCATCTTCTGTACCTGTGATGCATTCTCTTCTCTAATAATATTAAGCCTGCAGGGCGAAATTTTTGTGAATGTCTGACTGACTTAAAAATTAATTTTTCAAAATGACTGAAGGCTTCACTCAAAGGGAAATTCCCAGCCATCACCATGACAAAGTAATTATAGCCATACCACAAAAATTATCCCACTTACAATTATGCCGATATGAGCCTCCATCTGAACAATATGCTGGGATATTTTTCCCAGGTAGCTTCCCAGGAAGCTCTGGCTCTAAGCATCCAGGAGGAAGGGACCTGTTCCCAAAAGCCCTCCCCTCCCTCACCCTGGTGCTTTAGAAAGCCACCCAAGATCTCCCTTTCCCTGGTACGATCTCCTCCATGGGAGTGTTGTAGCTCAGCTCCTGCCAGCCCTGCCTGCCGGCGTCATTTCCCCTGCGTCCCCTGCAACCTCTTCCACTCCTCCCAGGAAGTCCCAGCTGTTTATGAAGCATTTCAGAGCCAGCGAGAGGGAGGCATGTCTGCAAATGCAGCCTGGGCGGTTGTTCCAGCCTCTCACAGCGTAAGGCAGCGTGGCCCAGCTTGATGTAAGTTGGTTTAACCTCCCACTGTCCATTTCTGGGAGCTGCCTTGTGCCTTCCTGTGCTCACTTGCTGGTTGTCGCTGCTGCATTCGCCCGTGCTCCTGCTGTGGCTTTGTACTCCACGGTGTGAGGGGTTCAGGCCGGACCCTTGTCCCTAAAGCCTTTTGGGTGCACCTGTGAGCAGCCAGGCTGGCCAGCACCATGGAGGTGCTTGGGGAGCACCGGGACGGAGGAGACGGCTGGCGCCTGCGGGCTGGAGGGCAGGAGGTGGTGAGTGACCGATCCCCACGGTGACCTTTCTGCTGTCACCTCCGAAATCCTTAGTGTGCTCCGTCCTGTGCCCTCCGCCAGGGCAAGAGGTGCCCCGGCTCCCTTGCAGGGAGCATACGTGCAGCACAGCCTGAAATGCCCAGCCAGGTAAGAGGCTCTCTGAACCTTTCCCAGGATTTTTGACTCTCTGGTGGCTGACCCCACTCCAAAACGCTGTCCAGGGCTGGGGAGGTGAGGCAGAGCCCTCTGCCCTAGCCCCGGTCGGCTGCTCACACTGGGAGCAGCACCCTGACCCCTCTAGCTCTTCACAGGAGCCTTGTGTACAGCTCTTACACCACCGCTGCAGTTTTCTGTAATCCAGTGAAGCCCTTTTTACTACCACACTTTCATTTTGTCACCTGCAGGGTTAGTCCCCTCATTCCAGTACTCATTCACTCTGCATCCCAAAGCAGCGTCCCCCACATCTCGGCGCCCGTCCCTGACATGCAACTGTCCCCCACACAGGGACAGGGTGGATATTTCGCAGTCCTGAGCAATGTTATGCTGTGGCTTCCTGTTTCTCCATAAATTGTGCTGTTTTTTCCCACCTGGGCAAAGAGATGTAAAACCCCACTGGTCTCAGCTGGCAGCCGCTTTGCACTTTTGTTAGAAATAACACAAAATGCAAACAGTGGGGACTCACATCCTGCATGTAAGGATGGAAAGTGCATCTAGCAGTACTGAGAACTTACTTGTGGGCTGGCTAGCTTCAAACCTGTTTTAATTTATTTTTTGGCAGCTGGGTAAATTAATCCATGGCTGGTCAAAATAAGGGTGCATGCATCGTCCAGACTCACCGCTTTTATCTCAAGTACCTAACAAAACATTAACTTATATTAGCTTAAATACTGCATGTTTAAGCAATGCTGTAGAATAGTTGAGGGGACCTGAGGTGAAGGAACAGGCTGCATCAGGCACAGATATTAATTTGTTTGGGGCCTTGAAGGAAAAGTAAACACCAAAATCACTTTGGAGATGGAAGCTGACATCTTGTTAATCAGAATAAAACTTGTGACTAAACAGCCTGGAGTTGCAGCAGCTGGGAGGCCAGAGTTCTCAAAATAGCAGTACTCTTGCTTTGATTTTTTTTTTTTTTGGCAACCTTAAGAACATGAAGGAAGAAGGAGAGATGGGTTTGTATGGAGTAGGTTTGCCCAGCGTACATCCCTAAGGCTCTTTGTTTCACTTGCCAGCCTCAAGAGGCAGGGTGTCCAAACAGCCCTGCCGAGGCACAGCCCCAGCAGTGAGGAAGGTGGAGGTGCTTCAGGGGAGGAAGGGCAGAGGCAAGAGATCCCTGGGATCAATGAAACTGGATGGGAAGCTGATGTTGAATAGCGAATTCGCAGAGGATGCCCTCTCACTGGTGTCCATACCACACCCCCCAGTGCAGAGGAAAGTGGGGGAGCCTGGAATTGGGGACCAAGAAGGCAGAAGCCATGGCTGCCCTTGTGATCCTGACTTTGTGTGTGTCACGGGTACTAAGTACAGTCCCAGCACTGTTTGATGTTGCAGCAGCAACACACAAAGCAGCTCGCTCTCCCTTTTCCTTTCTGTGGCAGAATAACCACAGCTTTGGGTCTGGACCTGCCTTGTTCCCAGGTACACAGAGTGTTTGCTTTACCCCTGCAGGTGTGGAGCAATTGTCTCACCCCCCTGCTTTGTGTCTGGGGGAAATGCAGGTCTGTGCCCATAGGAGTGAGACAGCAGGAGCCGTGGCATGCTCAGGAGAGTGGGACCGTCTCTGCGTCACTTCTTGCTGGAGAGGAAGAGCAGCGCTGGATATAGCTTGTACTCGAGCGAGGTATTGAATGCCCAGCATGACTTTCTGGCTGGCAGCCTGGTCCCTGGCCCTGGCTGCAGTGGTCTGGAGCCCGGGGGAGCTCACTGCCCAGGAGCTAGCCTTGGCAGCAGTGGCAGACAGGGCACGTCAGGAAAAGCCACACTGGTGCAATCTCCTCTGTACCTGCTTATTTCCAGATAGCCTATTTAAAAGGAACATCTCGTAATCTCCATACAGAAGAAAGCTCATTGTCTGTGGGGTTGCCTCATCTGATGGTCTCTCCTACTAAAGCCTCTTGTGTTGCAAAGTACTTGGGAAATACCAGCATCCCTCTTGGAGATACAAACTTGCAGAGCAAGGAAATCATGTGTGGCAGGAAGTCAGTGGTGGAAGGTTGTGGCCGCTAAGTCTTCCACATTTGCACCCAACCATTCTGTTTGGCTGCCAGGCAAATTGCCACTGGAGAAACACATCATTCAGTTTGGGGAACAGAACAGGCTGAAAGACATTCGGGGGCTCCTTGGCCCCAAGCTTGTGTTGCTCTCCAGCCTGATGGGCAGATTCGGGGGCTGCTTGGCCCCAAGCTTGTGTTGCTCTCCAGCCTGATGGGCAGCCGCCCATGGCAGCATCACGCAGGCTGAGGATGGGGTGAAGGGGACGTCAAAAGAAGAAAGTATTTGTCATTTCCCTTTCTGAAAGGGCTGGAGCAGACAAGGCCTTTCCTCAGAGCTGGGAATTTGTGGGCTTAAAGCACCTTCTTCCCACTGACCCCCTTCACAGTCGCCGATGCTGTTAAGTTCTCTGAACTTTGGCCAGCAGCAGCCCCACCACAAGAGAACAGAGCTGGAGCTGTTAATATTTCACCTCCAGCTATCTTTTACTTCCCAAGCCACAAATCTGTCTACTGCCACTAAAATCAGCTCAGGCACCAGATCTTGCTGACTGTAATATCCATAAGCTTGTGCAGAAAAAGCAAAACAGAGGACTAGGGGAGGCAGTGACTTCTGCTCACCCTTGGCTACCTGCCTGGCATCACAGGAGAGAGCAGAGGCCACCCGGTGCCTTCTGAAACACAGAACTCCTCAGCAAGTTATGTGCAAAGGTCCCAAGTGAGGGCTGAAGCTGTATAAAAATCCAAAGACGTCAACGCAAAATATCGTCGGGGCACTTTTCAAATTCTGGTGCAGCCCTCTAGGAATGGCGGAGGTGAGCAGGTAAATGGGGAGTTACCACTGCAGCCGAGCCTGGGGAGGGGGGCTGAACTGGTACCCCCCGCACCGTCCCAGCACAGCAGAGCACATCCCAGCTCTGCGTCTTACATCTCAGCTGCTTTCACATGCCCTCCTCATCCCTGTTCAAGTGTATTTTATTTGCTATAGTGACGATCTTTTTCTTGGCTCATTGCTTCAGAGACACCCTCCTCATGTCCCCATGCTGGCTTTTCTTGTTGCACTGAGCATCGTTTGTCTCTGGTTTCCAGTCCCTTCGCTGTCTGGTTACCTTTTCCCCATGCTGTTGAGTTATTAAATTCTGCCTCTGAC